ACATCAGACAATTCATCGAGAAAATCTTGGTGCAAGATGAACGTGTGTTCGTCAACCTTGTACTCTCTTCACGAAAAGTAGAGCACCGTGAAAACTACTCGCAGTGAGATTATTTTTTTTTTTTACATTGGAAAGTACTGGTGTGCGTGCGTATGTCAACGCGGGGATTTTCCAGTGAATTTACATGCTGTGGTAGACGCGTGGGTGGCTTTGAGATTTACAATTTCCCTCTCAATAAGACGCCGTTCGGAAAAGTTGGTCCCCCGTCGCTGAGCTACGTGATGTTCCTTTGAACGCGTGCGCCGTTGAAAAAAAAAAGCTCAAAGATACGGTAGATCCAAGACTTTGATTACGACGTACTTATACAAATGAATGTATCCTCAGTTGCGTCAAAACGAGATCTCCCGCCGGTGATAAAAGCGTCTTCCTTTTCCACGTCAACGTCGGGAGTTGCCGTCAGCTCGGCTGCTCTCTAATCCAAATGAAAACACTCCTCCCGGCTGTTGGACTGCCGTGCGCCACAAAACGGATTAAAACGGCTATGCCACGAATGCGTCGAGGGAAGAGACATTCTTCCTGTCACTCCGCTCTTGATTGCGACGTCAATCGTTAACTCTGCGGATCGAAGGTACCCGGAGACAAGCCCAAGATGGGAAATGAAAAAAAAGAAATCTCGACACCCGATATACTCCCAACTGGAGCCCCCCAACCCCCCCAAGTAATCGTCGCATTGTCCGGAAAGAGATCCGTCTCTGGACGCGGCCGAGCGCGCCTGGATTACAAAAATGAGCGTCTCTAAAAACACCCTCGCTCCGTTTCGATAATTTGTGAGTCCAATGGGGAAGAAATGGTTTTCCTCGAGATAGGCAGGACGAATCGACAGCCAAAGACGCGCTTAGCCTCTCGCGCGTGAATTTCTCTCCGCGGCTACACGGGCGCCATTGTCTTTTCTTTGGGACGAAAAGGACTCGGGGTTGAATAATGCAGGCCCTCCCTCCGTCCATCTCCGTTCCTCGGCAACCATTTGATAGACACAGCCGAGCCTTTTGATGAAAGGGGGGTGGCTCGAGCTTTCGCCGGGATGTAGGCGATGGAAATGAAAGGGAGCGGCTGATTGTGGAGCAGGGGGCCTGGAAAATCGGGAGGGAAATGAGGAAAGTTTTGCCGTGGCGGAGCCTTTTGGATTTTTCGGGCCTATGCGCGAGTTGGGATTGCTCTTCTCCGGTGCCCCGTGGAACAAATGAATCGCATCGAGGTGCGCGGCTGGGGTAAAAAAGAAGCAATTTTTTTTTTTTTTTTTTTCTCTCGTCAGTCACACCCGGAGCTAGACACTGACAAATCAAAGTCTACTCTCGAACGGGTCCGATGGAATTGATCATCACGAAAACCTTGCCACGCCGGATAACTCGAGCTCCCTATTTTTGTGCACAAAGAGGACTTTACGGTCACTGGGTCGCAAGAGTTAAAGGACACCTCGAGGATATACAAAAGTACGTACGATGAAACTCGCGTCAAGAGGCGAGGATTGTTCCAAAGAGCCACTCGTTTCACCTTGGCAGTTTTTCACTCTCTCGATTTATACAAGTCATCCATTTGAGTAACACCCGCGATACAGAAGAGACAGAGAGTTCGTACAAGATCAGTGCACCACTTAAATTCTGCGTCCGCGATACATAATAAGTATAAATACTCGTGGTGGTATTTATCATTCGCCGCTAAACGACGCTCGGGACACGCGATCGCGTTGATTGATGCGCCCACTCTCGCGAGCAGCGAAGAAAAATGTCCAAAGGACTCCCCCCTCCCCCGCTTGCAACATATTTCAAGAGATTACAAGCGCAGGATCTTGTGTATATTCCACCCATTAAAAGAAAATACCTGCGCCCTGCGAAGGACATCGGTCTCGTTTGGTTGATACCGCGACAAGGAATTCGTTTCTGCGCGTTGCATCAAATCCCCTGTCTTGAAAATAAATGCCCAGATGAGCAAAGAACGGGGAAGGGGGATGAAAAATTGATACAAGGTCGGATCGATTTGGCGGCTCCGAAGATTAATTTCCCATCGGCACTCGCAGCCGACTCGACGAGATCCAGGCCGGGTGTAGCGCGATCAAACATTAACACACGACCGAGAAAGACGTGTACGAGCCGAGAAAAACCTTAAAAAAAAAACCATCCTCGGTCCTGATTCTCTTTCTGGTGTCGCGCGTCGACGCTCCCCGTCCCATCAATAAATCCAGCGACACGCGAGCCTTCGTCAGACGATTCCTGTCTCTTTCACGCACAATGTATATATATCCATACCCTCAAAGGAGGAGCAAAGAGCACGTGGGGGCGGGGGAAGACACGGCTTGCCACTCTGTCGAGGTTAATGCGGAATGAATTTCCCCGGGTATAGCTTTGTCGCAAAAGGCCCCTCTCTGCGATGGCACGAGGAAATGCATCAGCCAAATGGCTGGAAAAGAGGGATCATCGCTCGGAACTTTAGTGGGTGGGGAAAAAAGGGCCGAGGATGCTTGAATAATGCAATCCTTCGACTTTTTGGCTGAAGGGTTTGTACACGCGTATAAGATGGAAGAGTGGACCAAGATTGATTTTAGATTGGGCCCCGGGAATTGGAAATGCCGTTCTTCTCTCCCCCCGAGGCCTCGCGTACTTTGGAATGCTGCCCCTTGGATGGCTCCTCCTCCTCCTCCACGGAAAAGCTGGCTATTCATGCTGTTTTCCATTGAGGTGGGATCTTTTTGAAGAAGGAGTCGTATACTCGAGTAACGAGGGGGGGGGAGGGCAAAAGTGTTGCGATTGTTGTATCTCTGGTATTGGCGCTATCGGTGCCTTTTTTTCCCACGGGAGTAAATTATACATGCTCAAAGAAGTTGAACTGACTGTTGTTTGTTTTGCTGCCACTATTGGGAAAACCTCTCGCGTTTTGATGATCAATGTTTGTTGGTTGTTGGGCGGAAAAAAAAGTGGAAAAAAAAAAGATTTTTCCGAAAAATACGACCGCGAAATATCCGCCGCTGTCAAAATATTTGATCGAGGTGCAATTGAATTGTTTGAGAAGCGAAAACCTTATTTTTTTTTAGCGACCTATATGTGCTGCAGAGTGTTTATTTTCTCGTGCATAAAGTAGGGTCTGGAATAAACGCGATTCTTCGCTACTCTCCAGCGTGTGTTCATTTGGCACAATGTTCAATCGTGTCGAGTGTCAAACCGAGTAGGGTACAGCTAACAAAACGATAGATGTTTCTGTTGAAAAAAAAAATACCCCAGACGGAGGAAATAACAACACCGCATTGTGCATCACATACGTGACACGACTAAAATAAAACTCGACACGATAACAATAATCCCATCATCTATGTATACCCATCTTTTATAACAGCGGTCCGAAGATCGGCCGATTTCGACCAAGTATAGGTACCACCATCTAGCCTGTAGAAATCCTCATAAATCTCTACCCAACACTTGTCGTTCCTTCAAAATGATCTAAAAAAAAAAAAAAGACTTTTGACCTTTTTACTCGTAGGGAGTCTTGTTTCGTCAAACATATATATCTCTCTTGGTCAAGCGAGAAAAGCCCACTCCGCGGAAAAAGCTTTCAGACGTATGCATTTTTCACGGGAATCGGCACACTCGCGAGCGAGGAAACAAAAAAAAATGCCAACCAACACCTTGCATTTACATCGGTCCTCGCGTGTTTGCACACGTACACCCACTACAGGTGGTAATTACAGCAGATCGCGCGATCGAGTTTGCATTTGTAATGGAGAGGATCGGAGGTGCGCGGCTGCACGTGTTCGATCGTGATGTTTGATCAGTGGCTGACAGAGTTCGATATTCTTAGCCATCGTAAGTTACCATCGGGACTGTTTGTCGCCCAAGAACTACTTTGCGTGTATTGCGTACGTTACGATGCGACATTATTGCTTGTCAAAGTTTGGCTTATCGATCCCGCGATCAAACTTGTGTACTTTCAACAACGCACGTTTGTCGTTTGCTCGGGTAATAACCATCAACTGCGTCTTGCATACATATCAACCCTTTATTACAGATGACACTGTATATATTGTTTTGTCCACTATGATATCTAACAACACGTCGATTTAGTCGAAATGAGGATATTCTTCGGTAAACACCAATCGTTTCCTTATATTGCCTCACTTGAGTAACAATGTCATCGATCGATACACGTCTCTTTGGACAAAACAAACTTTATTATTTATTCCTTTCCACGCGATATATATTGTACAAGCGCAAATTCTTTTTTTTTTTTTTTTTTTTTTTTTCTAGAAATCCTCTCCGACGTAAGAAGTTGGAGAAAATCCAAACTTTTGTTAACCCAAACAATCCTTAATCATCCCGTGCAGAGATTAACAACATCTCTTCGCTTCGTTGTGATTCCTTTGGAAAATCAGCGAATCATCGTGTACCCCGTATAGCCCCTTGCACTGCCGTATCCATCTTATCACATAACATACAGACTCTGTGTATGCACATACATAATACGAAAGAGTGTCGTATATACTATATGAGAAAAAAAAAAAAAAAAAACAGGGGAGGGGGGCAAAGGAAGAGCCTCGACTAGGCTTCCGTATAAAATATCCAAGGCGAGTAAGGGTACAGAACACGTGGGCCGAAAAAAACTCGTGTCGATACACAATAGAGGTATAGGAAGCCCCGATGAAAAATGCATCCGACGAGGGAGGGGGGACACAAGAGAAGCACGGGAAAGAGAAATTTCACGGCAGACGAATCACTTATTGACAGTCAGAGTCGCTCGGGTCGAGGATACACCCACTCTCTGGTGTTTTGCCGAGATTTCGGTAGTTTGGCAAGGAGTTGCTCACACATAAGCGCGCTAATGGATACGCCGATTCATTATGCAAAGGTGTCCTCTGAGAAATAATGGCATGTTTTTTTGTTTTTGTTTGACGAAATGTTGATCCTTCTTTCTGATCCTACAACGATGACTGTATACCTTGCTACTGAACTAACGAGGCATTGTATTCTTTGTTACAGGGAAGCTCGTCGGGAGAATGGACACCCTGCTCGAGGTGAGTACCTATGTGCTTGTTAAGTATCGTGTAGCCCTGATGCTTGGCTCGTCCGGATGATGGAGAAAAAAATAACAATGATCGGAAAATGATGTTTGGCATAATTATGACAGCCCTACAATGCAGTGTTGAGAAAAAAAAGGCCATTTGATTCTCTCGCGATTATATATAAAAAAAAAAAAAAAAACTCGCGAAACCTCAGACTGCGGCACCACCCGTACTCCTGTCATTATTATTCATCGCCTCGAAGATCCGCAGTTCCGCACTGGCGAGAGAAAAAACGAGTAACCTCCTCCTTTCCACCCAAAGAAGAAAAAGCAAGAAGAACAAGACAGCAATAAAAAAAAAAAAAAAAAAGAAAGGTGGAGAGGAGTGAGCTCTGAGAGTCGCTGTATCGAGACGGCGAAGGGGGGGAGGGGAGCACAAAAGTCTTGCTTATTCAACGAAAGCGAAATTACCACTTCAGGTCTCCTCCACCCCCTGCCCCTCGACGGTTCACTCGGCGCCCATTGTGTCTCAATCAATTTCTCGGTTGTCTCGCTCGCTGTACACCCATTACAATGAGCTCTCTCTCTCTCTCTTTCCGCTAAACGTTTCGGCTTGTGTTGTTTTTTCACCCCCTCCTCCTCGGCTTACACGCGTAGGTATATACATCCCAGAAGGGCCTCTTTAGCTTTCCCGGCGCGCGCGGATTCTCGGCGATAACTTTGCTCGCTCGCGTTTCACGGAGAAGAAAAGGAGGTCCTGGCTGCGGGGCCGGGACGGGTAATTTATGAGTTTTATAAGTTCCCTCGGACTCGAGCGGGTCGCCCTCGGAAACGCCTATTTTACGAGCCCGCGCTGCGCCCGTCTCCTTACATCTCCATCGATCTCTCTCCTCCCCCCCCCCCCCCACGTCCTCCGTTGGGTGCCAGCTCTGTTTTCCACCAGAGTTTTTAGCTTCGCTTCGGGGCCGAACACCGCGGGTACGTATATCTCGTGTGCATATGTTTGGGTGACCGAATCACCGCAAGGCTTTTACAGGGCTTCCCTCCGTTTTCTCCCCCTTCCTCTCGGTATCTCTTACAAGGACCTTTGCGTGTCCAAAATATCGCGGCAATCGGTACATAATGTGGCTACTTGGTGGGTTGAAAAAAAAAAAAAACAATTAACTATTTCCTTTTTTCATTTGCCAACTGAAACATTATTATCAAAAAAAAAGCTCCACCACTACATTGTTTTCCGGTGACCTAGGTCGGGTGAATTCAAGGAAAGGAGGAAAAAAGAAACTCCGCGCTAGAGCGGAAGATCGGAAAAAGTACCCTGAATCATCAGTTGGGGGAGGGGGGAAGTTTGGCAAAAAGGCAGCTCGAGAGCCCAGAGCGCCGGGGTTATAAGTCATTGTTGGCGAAAAAAAAAAATGTGGGTCGCCCCTCGACAAAAAGATGGGTTTCAGGGTCAAACGTTATACATCGCGCGACTTACCCCCTACACTCCGCTCGAATTGGTGCTCCTTTTGTTCGTAAAGTTGCAAAAAGCACGAGTTTTCCATGATGAATAGATAATAACTATAATCTTTTCCATTGTGTCCCGATAAAACCGGGGAAAAAAAACACCAAAGTAATATCATAAACAACTAAAATCATCATCATTAGCAATAACGAAAAAACCAGAACAAAAACTTTATTATGTGCAGGAGCTGCGGGGGCGGTCTGTCGAAGCAGCAAAAGCAGCGATGCCGGCGGAAGCCGTGCAAGAGTCGGAACATCAAATACAAAGTTTGCAACGTGCAGGTACGTGTGTTTTATTATTACAGTTATTATTATTGTTGTTATTATTACTAATATCACATTATAACCCTTACATGTACACTCCACGAGTTTTTTTCCCCCACGCGATAATTACTACATGATCTTCATTATTGTTGTTATACTATAAGCGGCTGTTACCACTGCGCTGGAAAGATATAGGTACACACTTGGGCTTCCCATTTCTCTTGCTCTCGGTTTCTCCCCGTAGAGTGGGCAGCCGAACAAATTAAACTCAAGTTCTCGCGGCTTTGCCGCTACACGTATACACCACGTGTACACGCGTACATACAAACTAGCTGTAAACTCTCTGGGAGTTGGCGATAATATATAACTCGAGCGGTGATGCTCTTCTCCTACCCACCTACCAACTCCTGCGAACAGGTGATTTTCGGGGGGAGTGAGATAATTTCCGAAAATTGCCGACGCGTCTCTCGCTCCGTTGTTTGCTCTGTCTCTTGTGTAATGGTACACAAGTTCCGTGTGCCGTTGCTCGATTTTGTCCCTCGCTCGTTTATCTTCGAGTTGATGCTTGTGCTGCTAAAATGAGCAATCGCGCAAGACAATGCGTTTCTCGTCCTCCACTCGGATTTTCATCTTCACAACAAACACGACTCTACACGCCAAAGCGTGTCCCTTTGAACTTTTGAACTTTATAATTGAACGCGCGTATTTGGAGTTAATTAAAATAACGCTCTGGTGCATCAATTGAACCCCCCCCCCCCCCCTTAGTGTACTTTACATGGGCGCCTATAGCATAAACAACGAGAGTCAACTTGTATACATATACTTATTTCGAGCTGATAATTATCCGTACCCAAAGTTTGCCCGCCTTGTGTCATCGCACCTACAGCGCAAGACAAGTCGGGTTGTAGTTAATTATTGCAAATTAGTTTACTTGCCAAGTTGGCATTCTTCCTCGCGGTTGAATGCTCAAACGTAAGGCGCTCGTGTGGCGAAAGCGCCGAAATACAAAATGATCCTCCGAACGCCTCTCTCTCTCTCTCTCTCTCTCTCTCTCTCTCTCTCTCTCTCTCTTTCTTTTTCTACAGAGACCATCTGGTACGTACACTTATGTGGGTAATGCATTCGCAGGTTCACGGCTCGCTATGCCCAGCCTGTACGCGCATTACTCACGCAAACGTAACAACTGAGCCTGGGATACAGATATATATATATATATATATATCTGTGAAAAAGGGAGCAAGCCCGTGGCGGATGACTCGACCCACATTATTCCATCCACCCTCCCCTTACCCACGCCTCCCTTTGCTACTGCAAAATGCTAGCCCCTGGCGTACGTGTGGGTATACTCCGTATGGACTGTATCCTTCTGATCCAGGACGAAAATTCCACACCCCCTGCCTTCATTCGAGGCCTACATACGTAATACGTCTGTGTTTGAACGTTGTTGACCCACAACCGTATAATACGAACGGAGGCTGCTGTTGCCACAGATTTCGAGGTATATACGAGGATACATATGTATGCACGTGTAAGCGTGTGTGCGATTTTGTAGAAGGCTACGGCATTTCCCTCTCATTTTTTTTTTTTTTTTTTTTTTTCTTTTCTTTTTGTCGTCCCAATGAGCGGAGGTTCGGAAGACGTAATCACTAACTTATTGCTTATATGAGTGGCTTTTTCTAAGCAAACCGCTAACCTATTGTAACCTACCGTCGTTTGTTTTGCCATTTTGCCAGGGCGACGCATAGGAACTTCGATACCAATGGATAAAGGATAGGAGAGCGTATTTGTAGGGCTTCGTAGCTACGTTTCGTATTGGCGTCTACGTCGCCACAGTGGCGACGGCAAAGTCAAAAGCCGGACTTGTGTATGTATCGTTGCAAGTGACGACGTCCTGTTGGATGGACTATTTACGACCCCCGGGTGTACTACTTCCGCTCGGAGTTTCTTTTACGGGTGTCCTTTTTGAGGATACTATTGGCACGAAAAAAAAAAAAGTCAAAGGATACTTGTTCTTACACATGGATAGTAATTCATTCGACGCAGCAACGATTCCACATAAGGAGAAAATCCAACCGGAAAGGGTTTACGGATAATTTTTCCATTCCCCCTAAGCAGTTCCCTTTCTAGCGTAGCATTTAAACACGGATGTAGCGATGTTGTTACACCTACCCGAGGGCGTATGTTTATACCGCAAAGTTTCTTTAACTGCACGGATTCAATTCGCGGACGCATGGCTACTCACCACGAGAAAATCTCGCCCATCTCGCGGTGGAGCTCTATGCAACGCTTTGCCTGTGCGCTCCCGGAAAGCTTAGCGAAGTGAATTTCCTTTTTTTTTCTCTCTCTCTTATACGGACGTTATTCCATTGGGTGGCTTTATTTGGAAAATCCTGTTGGAATTTCTCTATGTAATTGTGAGCTAATGAAGCGTGAAAAGCAAAAAGTGTAAAAACTTTTCGAAGAGATGAAAAAGTTCGGAGTGCGAATGATGGACACGGAGACTTACGAGGTTGTAACTTTAGTTGTACCTCTAGTGAAAGAAAAGACGTTTTATTGAAAAGTTGAAAGGTTTAATTATTATAAATCTTATGGCTATGTAAAAGCATTTATTGTTGATTGATTCTTCAATCAGCTTAAAGGGGGAAAAAAAGGGAGAAAACATTTACTCGTAAGAACACTGCGACAACTGTAGAAATCCGCTGACAATTTCGCGTCCAAGATCCGTGTAGCGGAACGCTTTCCGGAACAGCTCACAAGAAAAAAAAACAACAAAAACGAGAAAGCAAAAGAACAGAGAACAATATAAAAACAATACACGTCTCGACAACAGAAACACGTGCAAGGGAGGGTGGAGGGGGATTTGCTTTGCCAAGGGTCAGTCTATGGTTATTTTAGCCGATGAATAGCGACTTTCCTGCAGGTAGATTGCCACTGCGTGTACATACAGGTATTACCACCGTGGTGGCTCTCCCCTATACCCTGGAAGAGAAGGGAAACTAGGTCAAATTTGCTGAGCACGAGCCAGCAGACATGTTGATGATAATGATGATGACGACGATGATGATGATGATGGTATGCTCCCCAGATTCCTGCCCCTGTGTATACCTGTATATGGTATACCTGTATATATATGAGTGGTAACACCCTGCTGGTTGGCCGGTCGATTGGTGGAGTGGCCGTGTGTTGATGTTCTATACGGTAAAAGCATGGCTATTCATTTACGTGGACCGATAGGCGAACGACTCGCTGTTTTTTTTGCGTTTTGAATGAAAAAAGTTTGAGAATCTAGAGTGATGGCGTGTTTTTTTCATCAGTGTAATGTTATCTGCGTGTTTTCTTATACCAATCAGTGGTGTGATTTTCAATCACGTTGAATTGGTATCGTTTAATATCATGAATCAGTTTCGCATTTCGTTCGCCCAACACTTTGGAGTCAAGTATTGAACTACTTGAACTTTTTGATGATATTAAAGGTTTGACGAGGACTCTTATAAACTGGATCGTTCAGCTCGCGGTGATGGTTGATCGGTTGGAGTTTGTACTACTTTTGAACTTTGTCAAACAAACGGAAAGTTGTGTTTACGTCTTATATTTACAGAGGCGTGGCGTTTTTAAGTAATTGAAACCGAGTTCAGTTAATATGGTTAGTGTAAATTTAATAAAACTACTCGGAACTAACAACGTGACCGTAACACAATGTAAAATATTATTCGCATTAATCCTCACCTAAAACGCACACATGGTTGGACGGTTTCATTGAAAAAATAATTTAAAAAGGGGGAGAAAAAAGCGCGTAAATTATTCACGCATCAAAAATCTGTGAGCGACATGAAACGCGAGCCCGTCAAAAGCCGCGAGCAAGCGAAGCGGGTTCGAAGCCCGGCGTCGAATAAAAGTGGACGCCCCGGCGCAATCTCGAGAGGAAAACTCACATGGTGTTTATACAAAGCCGCTCCTGGCGTAAACGGCTACACAGCCGTGAAACCCACTTGGCGTAAACACACCGCGCACCTGCCGATTTTTTTTTTCATGTTTTTCCTTATACACTTCCCGCACCTCTTTGTACTTACCGGTTTTCTTCGTTTTACAGCTCCTCACGAGTGCGCGCCCGATTCCTTTGTACGCGCGTGAGCTGAATTTGCCTCGACGTATGAGTGGGTGGAGGAGGCGCTCTCTATTTTCGTCGCCTCCCTTTTTCCTCTTTTCTTCATTTTCGCGAAAGAAAAAGTTTTTCCGAGACGACGACGACGACGATAAAGGGTTTCGAGCTCGCTCGTTTTCTTGCTCTGCTTTTGACGATGGGAGGTCGTGGGGGAGAGAAAAAAAAGTTCACGGGCTACAGTTGCTGCTGCGTGTCGAAAATATTTCATCAGGATTTCTCGGCCGTTTCGTCTTTTTTTTTTTTTTTTTTTTTCTTTTTCCTTTAACTCGGTTTGCCGATTCCGGCGAATGAGGTTCCGAAAGTTTTTACGGCCACCACCCGAGTATTTTACTACTTCGCGAAATTAGGGCTGTTTTCGGGGCTCTCGTCCAAAGTGCCGCAACGAATGATGGATCCCAACTTGCGCAAAAAGTCGCTCGAAATCAGACAGGAGCTGATTATCCTTCGAAAAACGCTTTAATCATAAAATTCAACACATTATGGAACGCACCCTCGAATCGTTGTAGCACTCATTGAGGATGTCGACAAGAAAAAAAGCATACCCATTATTCAGCAGTTTTAATTAAAATCCCAGTAACCTTAGCACCTTAGCGAGCGGTGGTGAAACAACCCTCTCGCGTGAGCTTTCAACTCTCCGGAGCCTTTCAAGCTCATACGTTGCGTAAACAGTGGCCCCTCAAGATTGAAACGTTCAAGCTAAAAGCTCACGTCAACGTGCGCTTCGCTTTTTCGAGGGAAATAAAGCATAAGCAGCCGACCCCTCGATACGGACGCACGAACTGCTGGAGCACTTGTGCTGCTCGAGAGAAACAGGAGCGAGGAAACACCGGGACGTGACTAGTTGTACGTGTACGTG